GAGGAATTCTTAACCTATATATCACAGAGGCTGTGGGCTTTTCCAACCTGTGTAACCTCCTGTAATAAAGATACAGTTGCTACAGTTGACCTCTTGTGAAAAGTGGATCTTTGTGCTTTTATTCTGTGGCCTGAACGGGACACGTAACAGAACGGGCACTGTTCGTGCTGTGGGAATTTTCCTGTCTCTGACTGGTGAAGGGAGCAGGCAGGGGGAGGAAAATTGGCTCTGCAAATCCAGTGTCCAATTTTGTCGTTTACAGAAACTTCTTGACCTCAACTTTGTACAGCTAATGTTACAGAGAGTATTTAGAGGTTTGATAAATATTTTTGGGAAAGATAGGGCTAACTGTTGCATTAAAATAGTGTTGTGATGCCAAGACTGTGTATTTATACTTCATTGCTGCAAGGCTAGCAGAATCACAGAATCATAGGGGCTGGAAGGGACCTTCAAACATCATTGTGTCCAGACTCCCTGCAAAGGCGTCCAGGAAGGCATCCAGGAGTGACTTGAATGTCTCTAGAGAAGGAGAGTCCACAACCTCCTTGGGCAGCCTGTTCCAGTGCTCCATCACCCTCACTGTGAAGAAGTTCCTTTGCCTATCGGTGTGGAACTTGCTGTGCTCCAGCAGCAGTGTCCATAGAACTCCACTTAAGTTGATGTTACGCTAAGTAAAAGAAAAAATATCCAGTCACTTTCTAGGTTGCCTTTAAAAATGCTTTATACTTAACACAACTACTTGTGAACCACTCTAATAGAAAGACTGGGAGTAACACTGTGGTAAAATTACTTGTATGGTGGAGGCCAAGTTTACCATGTGCATGATGGAGAAGACCTTACTTCTCTTCCTTCTGATATGTTTTCTGATGTGTCTTTCAGAGTCAGAGTAATTCTGCAAACTGGCTGAAAATTTCTGTTCTATCATTGTGCACTGGTCAGTCAATTATTAGCAGTTGTAGAAGCATCATCATTGGCTTGAAGTCTGTGCATAGTCACAGAGCAGGGCAAAGCCTCACTAAGCCTTACTAGCTAACAGGGATTTGCGTACTTGTTGCTTATTGCATCTCAGTTTGTCAAAATCTTCTATGGGCTAAACTACTCATTTTCCCCAAAAGCACGTGAGGAGGATACTTTCTCTCCCTGAATTAAAGCTCTATCACTTTCTAAGTAAGGCAGTATATCTTTCAGAAAGGTACTTTCTAGAGAGGGTTGCAGCTAGTGCATTCTAAGCTTTTATCCCAGAAAAGTTGAACTTTCGGGCAAATTATATTGAACAAGTTGACTTCCAGACAGTCCGCTGACTGAAATGTATTTCAACACAGTGCCTGCTTAGAAGATGTATTTATTTTGCCTAATTTCTGGAGCATTCTGGTGCTTTTGAGACCTGTTACACAAACTGTTATTGGTCTCCACTTTCAGCAAAACTGGACATATTGGTGCACATGTGCAAATATTTTCATATATGCAAGGGTGCATTTACACTTAAACTAACCTTATTTTTTCACCTTTTCTTGTTCACATAAAGGGGGCTCTAATACAAATTGTATTCTACAGATTTTGTAGCATACTCGTAAAAATCTTTACATCTTAAAGGCTTAGCTGATATAAATACATTCTCGCCCTTCTTGCTTTCTTTGCTATGTCTTACCAGCACCTTGTTCCTGTCAGGGAAAGGCTGAGATGAGAGAGAACCTGCTACACTACTTGAATGTTCCCGTAAGTGAGAGCAATCTTCAGCTGCTTCTTCCAAATCTTATCATTTTTGTGGTGCCTGAGCAAAGCACAGTAATTACAAGGAAATCTGCTACCTATTCTTAAGTATTTTGAGGTAGTGAAAGAACTATTGCATACAACCGAGTTTCTCAGGATGTATAATTTTTTTTGTTGTTACAGTGCTGATGTAATCATTTCATGGATCTTGTTTGTTATACACTGTCACAGATAATGGGTTTAGATCTTCATTTTTGTGCCCATCCTTTTCTAGTTCTTCATTAGAATCATAAAATAGAATAGTTAATGTTGGAAAAAAACACTGAGATCATCTAGTCCAACCATTAATCCATCCCCATTCATAATAATTAATCCAGCAAGTGCCAGTTGTGAAAAAAATTCTCTATAATCTCGTTCTCTGAAGCAGTCTTTCCCAGATTTGGACAAGTTAGGGCAAAAATGGTAGTATTCATTCAGCTGAATGGAAACAATTCTCTGAAGTAAAATCTATTGCTTGTTGGTTGAAATCTGGACTTTGCATTTTTCAGGCGATTCCATTGTTTCAAATTCATGCTTCCAGCATGCATTGAAATAAAGTTTTTAATACAGTCGGACTTTAATAGTTTTCATATTTATTGCATTTCATTTTGTAATTTAATATCAAAGCTAAAGCACTTCAATTTTCCTGTATAAGACTGTAACCAATCGCAAAGTAATGAAGTTGAAATGAAGGGTTCTAATTTTACCAAAACAAAATACCTAGGTTTAATGAATGTGAAATGGTTCAATCGTTATCCCTTTAAAAGGTGGGAAAGTGCTGTTTCCACAAAAATATGAAAATTCTAGTCATTATTTTTCTGTTCTGTGGGGAAAATACTCATTTTTCTTGGCAGTTTGGGATTTAGCCTTTGCAACTAATCATAGAAGTGTCTTAATATCGGTTTTAGTAAGTGTAACTAAGATTCGAGACAAAGCATAACTGATACAAAATTTCTTGATGGGAATTCTGGCCAAAAACCTACAGTGAATGCAAAGAGTATGTGGGACAGACAACTCAGAGTCAGCTGGAAGCAAAACATCTTAAAAAATACTGTAAGGAAAAAAAAAAAAGCAATGATTTTTTTTTGTGGGAATGGACAAGTTTAGTAAGAGCTTTCATCTTTTATCTAAGAGATTTTTGTTATAATTCTGCCTGAAATAAAAGCTTTGTTCTTAAGGGCAAATTGAAAGCATGCTTTTTTAACTCCTTAGCTTTCAACAATAGTGTATAATATTTTGGTTCACCATTGTATTAAAAATGTAAATGTTTTTCTCACTTCTCTGTCAAAATAATTTATTAATATTGACGCTGCAGGGTAACTTGTCAGTACAACTCAAAAGCTTGGGTTTTCCCCTTCTGGCAGATTACATACAGATTATATAAGTTGCTGTAATGCAGACTGTAACTTAATTATTTTATGCATCTTGAACAGTGTTCATTTCTGCAAGTGATAGCTGCCTAGTATGTAGTTGCTCATGTATTTTTTCTCCTTTTTGTATTCTACAAAGGAAAACACATTTAAAAAGCAATGGTATGTATGCAAGGTATTGCTGCTGTGCAATAAGTCTGTCTGCTTTCAGTGCTAAAATACGTGAAAACAGAACAGTCAAATTGCCTGTATTTGTATGTGGTGGTGCAAATTTTATTGTTAAGGGTTTTAACATTGTGCTTTTAACAACTAGCAGTAAACTGTAACTTTACCTATAACTGTGCTTACTATAATTGCTTTGCTTACATAATTTCATCGGGTAAGCCTAGAAAAAATTATTTTGCTTACGTAAATCTAACCTTTTGATTTTTTAAAAATGCCAACAACTCACCAGTAACTAGTGTGTTATTTTTTAATACATAAAACATGTACACATCTTCTGAATGGTTTCCTAACTAACATTTAGGAATAGTTATATATTTTCCTCCAGTGTTTTCATTAACTTCATTCTGGATCAAGCAGAATTCTTCCTTTTTTTGTATTCCCACATTTCAGTTACATTAATAGTCGCTTTTTGTGCATCTGTATTTGAACTTCCGTATCAAGGCAACTCCATGTACTTCCCTGCTGACCTCAAAACAGGGCAATTCTAACTGCAGGATAAAGAGAATTTTGGTCCAGAAATCTTTCCTTTCACATGAAGTGCCTGAAGTTAGCCAATGACTATAACTTTTGGCTTAATTCCTTTCTTTTTGTGGATGCAGATATTTGTATGCAAGAGGACACGCGTAAAGACATGGTGTGCATTGGGTATATAATCGGCTGGGAGCAGAATTTGATGGGACTCCTGTGTGCACACAACTTGAGGCAGAGTTGCAGATTGAAATGTGAATTCAGTCAGTAAATTCATTTACTAAGGAATTGAGTCTGATTAATAGTCTGCAGAATCTGCAGCCTAAGGAAACCGCTGCTAGCCTGGTTGCGCGTGGTTTCCCTATGAGCTGTGTTTAGTGCAGAAGAGGAGCAACATGTCGAAGAGTAGTCAGGTTTGAAGTGTGGTAGCAGGCCTGTTCTGGGAGTTGTACTTAATCATACTTGGGGTTTGAAGGGAGGTGTCTGACTTCAGAACTGTCAACACTTAATTCACATGCATGCACATTTACAGTTTATTTAAAAAAAAAAAAAAAAAAGCCTTTATAACACTCATACCGTTGTATTTTGATTGGCATGTCAGGTTGAGAAACCTGGCTGTTCTAATTCTACTGCACATTCTACTTCCTACACATTTTAACTTCTTGGTTCTTGTTAGTTATTACTTCAAGTTTTTATTCTGAGTTTTATGTAACATCTCAGTAATAAGCTAGTAGAATAAAAACAGGGTTATGCAGTTCGTTTGAATTGTGTGTCCTTGTATTTTGTTGCTCGCACCTTATTAGTCTTCTGCAAAATGTTCCACTTTTCTTTAGTTTTGGCAGGCTGCTCAGAACACCATTTCCTTCTTTTCATTCTGGTGAGATCCAATTGTTCTTTGCTTACACTGCAGGAGCCTTTCCCAGAATTTAGCCCAGAGTTTTTATACACTGGGGAGTTTCCAGTGTGTTTAGATTATAAAATGATTTCCTAGTGTGACTGACAGAACCATGCTTTCAGATAATGCTGTCAAAGTACATTTTGGTGGTGTTTCTCTGTGTCACGTTGCACTGTTTTGCTGTACTGAAATGATCTGTACAAATAGTTTTGTCATTTGAAAGTGATATTTTTCAAGCAATCCTCCCAAGCAGAATCATCCCAAAACTTTTTTTTTCCTGTTCCTCTTGTTAGGTGTGTGTAGATCAATTGGCGTAAGCAACTTTCTTATCAGTCATCTCGAGCAACTACAGGAAGACTGTCTGGTTACCCCACATGTTAATCAGGTGAGTGGAGAAATAGATTTAAGAATCTAGTTATGGTTTTGGGTTAATAACCCACTCCTCCCCATCCTGGTGCCTGGAAGACTAAACATAACTAGCCTTACTCCTGCAATTTCCTCTCTTTCATTTCTATACATGCATTGTAAACCACTCAGGAAGGCAATTAGAACTGGGGAAAAAAAATTCTTCATCCTTTCATTCCCCGTGTTCTCCCAGCTAGTTGTCAGTGGTTGGTTTTAAGGCCCAAACAAATGGTTAGCGCATCAGTTTTTGATGATAAAGCAGTTGAGGAAAAAATTCAAGTAGCACTAAACATTTAGTGTCTCCAGAGTAAACAAGGTTTTGGAGATCCTGTGCTTGAATACTAAGTATAATTTCTCAAAGCAATACTGAGGTGATACTGTATCCATGCAAGTGTACTGGTACACTTGCTCTCTCTTCTATGAGGAGATACAATTGTCACCTACATATGAGCAGACTTCCAGGACACTGACAGCTGTTCCAATTCCTACCACTTGCTGCTAGTGAAAGTGCACTTCTGCTAACATAAAACAGGGAACTGGAATGGCTGAGGTACAGACACATGCTTTTTCCTTTTCAGCAGGTGTAGAGGCTTTTTTGGCAGGTTTTTATTGTGTGAAGTTAGAAACAGGCATAAAAGGATTGCTCAGAGTGTGACAGAACATCTCTACTTTTTGTTGATCACTAGACAGAAGGCTAAAGGACAATTGTGAGTAATGTAAAATGTACTTAAAAAGAAGGAAAATACTGAAGTTCAGTTATTCAAAATAAACCAGGGACCAGGTTGTGCCTGTTAAAGAATGGGTAAATTTGCCAAGGTTCAGTTGTGTCATCTTTTCAGAAATACACCTCTTCAAACCTTACTCTGGAGCTTGGCAGACATTGTTACTGTGTTAAATAAGAGTAGCTTTTCAGTGTCCCACCAAATCACTACAGATTACAATGTATAATTATGGAATTGTTTTGCAAATTTCCTCTTACCCACAGTGTCAGCGTTACCAGTCTCATTGCTAACAGAAGTTACTTCTTGATGGGGTCCTTTGTTTTGTGGCTGAGAGGAGTCAAAAAGTTGAAACCGTGGTGGTTCTGAAAGATTAGTGTTGAGTGTTTGTGTCTGTGCCCAGGACTATTCCATTTATCCCTCTGTATTTAAGTAGTCATTTTTTTTGAAGTGGTGCACAGCACATCCAAATAAAAAATGTCTGTACTGCTGCAAACTGCTCCACTTCTAGCACTTTCATTATAGCATTAATTGTCAATTGTCAGGGCTATGGAATCTTCAAAAGAATATTTAGTGCTGTTCCTTGCTGAGTCAGATGAAGAGATCACTGAAGCACTATAGAGGCAAGTGCTATAATTAATTCCAAATTAATTGCCCAGTATTTGTGATACCAAAGAACTTTGCTGTGTATACTCACAAGATAGCCTACTATTTCAGTGAACTTATTTCTAAATACAAAACATTTGCTAGCAATGACATTGAAATTCTAAGTACTTAAAGCATAAATGAAGGAATATCACTTCTGTTTAGATATTTTAAATTATCATAAAGAATTTAGGATATTCATGCAATTCCAACAGTTCTTATGGTATTAAAACTGAAAGTTATTTGTCTGTGAAGAGAAAGAAGTAGGAAGATAGGAGAAAGGAAGTTGTGTGTTTGACTTTTGCTGTCTTTATGTACCAGGTGGTAAGCAGTGTTTCTGTTATACCAATTGAGTTGTAAGCAGTGCTGCTTCTTGGTTCCTGAAAAAAAAAAAAAAAAACCAACACACTATTGTGATGTTCTTTACCAAAGTAGGAAAGACCAGCCTTTTCAAGACTAAATATTTTCTGATAATGAGCATGCAGCCTACTACTAAAAGTACTGTCAAATGTTCTATGCTAAGTATTTCATTCTAACAGTGAAGAACGAAACAAGTTACAGGTTTGAGTTGCAGGATTTGTAGTTGACTTGGTGTGCATTTAATGCAATAAATACACTGAAACAAGATGGATCCTCTCCAAATTCTGTGCAAAGGTGCTCATCAGTATTTATTTATTTTTTTTTTTACTTCTGTGGGAGTTCAGTTAGCTGTGGTATGACCTCAGAAACGCTTAAATATTGTTAATGTCACCGTTGATATTAAGCCATAATATGTAAATTTGTACGAGGTAGACATGCATTTTAGGATTTGATGCTATGATTTTCAGGCATTTGTATATAAACTCACTTGAACTGTTCCTTTATGAAGAAAACTCAATTCTGGGCTGAAATTTCACTTTTTTAAAGGAAAAATAATTTTTAGTCTATACATTCTGCTTGAGAAGCTGGCTGGAATCCAGATGCAGGTAAAGATCCACATGAAAAGATCTGCAGCGGTGTGGAATGAGTAAGGGTTGTGTACTGTCACATGGACCTTACTGAGAGTCTAGGTCCCTGCATCAGGATTGCTGTTAGGCTTAACTTTTCTCCCTTTGCAGCATGACTGTCATAAAAAATCTGTGCTTTTTTTTGCAGTGCCCTGGTGGCTGACTAAATTGCAGCTGTGAAGAGTTCAGTAATGTGAACTGCAAACTCTTTTATTAAATAGGACGGATTATACACACAAATCCCTCTGGGTAGAGTGCCAGAATAGATCAAGATCTTTCTCTAAGCTACTTGATGGGCATCCCTTGCCTGAGAAGTTTGGTGACTGAAATAGCAAGGGTGGGGCAGGCCAGGAAGCAGGAATTATTATTTTGAGGGGAAGCACATGCTGGCCCCCCGCCCTATGGCTCCTCTGCCTCAGGATGCTGGTGCCTTGCATTCAGATGCTGCTAGAATCTTCCAGAAAGGTTTCAAAATAAAAATAAAAAAAACCAAAACAAAACAGAAGTAATTATTTCATTTCATGCACTTGATTATTTTAGTCACACTTTTAAGAAGAAAAATACTTGCAGTACACAACAGAGTGACAAAAAAGCGTGACAGAATTCAGTGCATGAAATGTGGAAGTCTCATCAGTGAAAGGCACAAAGTAAAATGATCCCATGTATGTTCCCATGGTTGTTGCTGTAAAGCCTACTTGAGAAACAGGGAACATCTCAATGTACTGTTATGGTTTTAAATCTTAAGGTACAGCCTGGAACTGTTCTGCTTTGAACCCATATTAGACAAATGACTAAATCTTGACTGCATGTGTATTAGCAGTAAGTGCTGAATAACTCACCTGATGCTATAGAGATGCTTCAGGTTTTTCAGCATTTATCTGTAGGAAAAAAAAAGTAGTATTTTCAAGGCTGTACTATTTATTGCACTTAGTGCAGAGAACCTCTCTAAAAATACTTATTTCTGTTTAAATAACTGAGTAATACATCCTCTAGCCAGTACTTAACAAGTTTTTAATTAGATCCCAATAGTCATGATGTGTTAATGCATTTGAAGACACTGTGCATCTATATCTAATTACCAGTGTAAAATGATACTTACCTGGGAGAGTACCTGGTGTTGCTCTGAGATGCTCAGTCTTACAGTTCAGTCATGTAAAGAACTAGTAGATTAGGCTTGCTTTGGGTTTTGTTAATCAGTGTTTTGAAAGGAACTGCTTGCTCATTCTTTTTTTCCCCTCAGTTTTGCGTAATAAACGATGAGAATATTTTCTAGTCAGCTCAGCTGCAAACGAGTGAGTAACTGTATGACCTAAACACCAGTCTTTTAAATATAAACATGAAATACAAAGGCTACTCAGAGGTCAAGAAACATCAAAGGTTGAAGACATGGATGTGTCTGCTGCTTGAACCTTGTTCCTGAGTCCACCTAGTAATTTAGATCATAGCAGCGTTAGGCTGACTCAGCCCAGCCTTCCAGGGGCATGTTTTTTTCTTAGTCTATGTTGAATGACTGCCAGCCTATTGTTCTGCCTATTGTTGTCTGAAAAGACAACATGTACTAAAGATGAGAAACAGGATATGTTCATTTGTCCCTTTTGTGGCAGAAGAAATTTTCCAGATTCCATGTGTTGAGTTAATTGTTCAGGAGAGTACTTTTCTTCAAAATGCTCAAGAACTAGATCACTGGAACAGTGGTGACAGCTGCTGAGCCAAAGCCACATCACATGATTATGTATTTTATTATTTAAAATCAATGCCACCCACTTTCATCTGAGTGCAGAGGAAGGTATGTTTCTTACAGTGTATAAGCTGTGAAATATTTTTTAAGTAAAGGAGTAAGGGACTGCTATTACAGAGGTTTGGTTTTGGCTTTTATTAAAAAACCAGAAAGTTACTTGAGATTCTTACTTTCTAATAACTTTTTTTTCCAGTAGATGCCCTTGTAGCTTGTTGCTTTTCTTCTCTTAGCTGGTTCTTGGCAATTTGTGATCTTCCTTCCTACCAAGGGTCTCCTGCACAGTTCATTCTGCAGCATGACTCCTTCCTCCATATGTTGGTGACACCGCTTATGGAATACAGGATTTTCCCTGTGTAGTCTATGCCAACACACTGCTTCAGAGGTCAGGCCCTCATCCTAGACAAATTCTTTTGGTTTGTGTCTTGTAAAAGGAGGCTCCACCTCCTCTTCTTGCCTGTGCAACTCAAAAAAGATCATTAGTCAAGAAGTAATTAAGGCAGTCTTTTTGGGGAAGAGTATCAAATCGCCCATAAAAATGACCTGATTCCCAGTATGCGTTTGCGTGTATTTCTCCAACACTGAGCAGAACAGGAGTACAGGTCCAACTGCAGGTAGGGAAGATAACTGCTCCAAATACCTTGTTTCTGGGGTAAACAGAAAATGCATAGCAAACTACTGTGCCAATTAATGGCAAAATGTTTTGAGTGGATTATTATCCTTCACGTCTTCTAAAACTAATTGCTTCCATGTATGTCCCATTAGAAGTAACTTCACTCATGTTGCGTTTTTAAAGCAAGAGGGCAAAAAAATTTTCATTTATCAATGACAATGTTTTCTGCTATATGTACTTAGAAGGGTTTTTACTAAAAGCTTTTTTCTGTTTGCCTAAGGTTGAATATCACCCTTTCCAAAGACCTCAGGAGCTGGTGGACTATTGTAGGAGCAGAGAGATTGTTTTTGAAGGATACTGTCCTCTGGCCAAAGGGGAAGCACTCACTCATCCTAGTATCATTCAGCTGGCAAAGAAATATGGCAAAACTCCAGCACAGATTTGCATACGCTGGAGTATACAGGTAATGGAGGGTGGTAATAAAAACCTCTCTCAGAAGAAAAAAAAAAAAGCGTATAGTGGGTTTTGTACCAGAATAAACCAGAATATATACTGATTTTTTTTTTGCCTTTAGTATGTTGATCTGTGATCTAATTGTGCTGTGCAGAAAGATGTATTACACAAAACAAGGCACTACTTTAGACATGAAAATAATCTGATTGTAGAGAATGAAAGGAATTGGTAATAGAAGAGATGTTTTTAAACTAAATTTTAAAAACTGTAAGGAGTATTGTTTTGATTTCTCTTACTCAACACAAAGTGCTAAGCAGTGAAATAATATATTGAAGTAATTTAAACGATATAATCTGTGTTGGAAGTTAATGCACTGCATACAACTGCAATTATGAAAGGCCTATGGAAATGGCAGTGTCCTCTGAAAAATGAGAGGAAAACCTGGGAAGGCATGAGGAATGTCTGAAAGGATTTGCAGAGAGAAGATTTTCTTTGAAATTATGTAAACTTCAATAATGACAAGAATTATGTTTTCCAGAATGGAATTGTGACTATTCCGAAGTCCACAAGAGCAGAAAGGATACAGGAGAATTGCAAGGTAGGATTTGGTTACACACTGAAGTCCAATTGATGTCTGAACTGTTTTTAGAATTTGGGTTTACCTGCCCATTGTCCTGTAATTAGGGCATATCAGTCATCAATGTCAGAAATCAACTGGAGATTTGATCAGTATGTACAAGAAAGATATCCGCAGACTTCCTGGATGCTGAATACTGGACAGTCAACTTTCGTCGTTGAGTTTTTGTTATGAATATTTTTATCTATTACTGATTTATTGTAGAAAATCGTGGACTGGCTGTGGTAGGTTCACGGATCAAAATGAAGCAATGTGTGTGCTATGCATAGTGCAAAGACATGATATGAAAGCTACAAAACTCCTTTGGAGATATCCCATATACTTCTGAAGGAAGTTGCAATCCTATCAGAGTTGACTCTTCCCCTACCTTCTTGCACTGACTTGCTGAGAAGGGCCCAACATGCAGGGGGTGCACAAAGAAGTGGGAAAGGAATGAGGATTAGCAGTATCTCCTGTCCCCTCCCTTTTTTTTTTCTCTCTTTATACTAAATGTTTTTAATTAGCTTCCTCCTCATCTCTGTAATATGAAAGCTTTCTCGAGGGGGAGAGGGGTGGGGGAAAACCATAAGCACATAAAACCGTAAACACATAAAACCATAAACACATTGTTCTTCTGCAGGTCTGTTAGGAGTATGAACTGTTTGGCAAATTGGGATAAAACTTAGCAAGAAGACAGCAACCTTCTGACTCTGGCTCAATTCACTGTATGTGCTTTAAGTGTGAATTCCCACACATGCAGTGAGGCTTTCTTCTGGTGGCTATGTCTGCTTATGTAGCTCCTGCTCTGAATGTTTATTCTGACATCCATGCTGTGACTGTGGTACAAGCACAGATGTTTGTGGCACTGTGTTGTGAACCAAATCAGAGAGAATAAACAAGAATTTCTTCTTCTTTTATATTCTTTTTTCCCCTCCAGTACTTTAAATCCAGATTAGTTATATGTTTTACAGAGTTGACTTTATGACCCCACCAATTCATTTAATGCAACTGAGGGATTGTATTGCAGGAAAACTCAAATCATAGAGGAGAGAGACAGGGAATTGCAGATATCTGACATTTATCACAAATCTGTCTTCTCCAGCCCCGTGTGCCAATGTGTTGGTATAAGTCTCTACGATTTCTAGTCAAAATGGGGAAAGGTGGACCTCAGTGAGCCCCTGAGCATATAATATATAGTATTTACAGTTCTGTGATTTGTCTGTGGGTTAGGTTGGAAAAGGTTTTGAGGACCGAAGTTTAATTACAAGGAGCAGGCAGCAATTGCTGGATAATGCAGGATGGGTGGGAGCTCATTTGTAAGCAGTTCAGTCACTGCAGGATCTTTTCATGATGGAGCAACTGAAAGCAAATTCAGTTCTGAAGTGATATTGTCCCAGTAATACAACTGCTAGGAGAACACTGTCACCATCATGCATGTTGCAGATCTCACCACAGGAGAAGCCTGTAGCTATAAGAACCTGTACATGAAGACAGATGGTTGCTTTCAAGTTAGTGTCAGTACTAAAAAACTGTAGAACTGTGTCTTCTTCTGTATTAATTGGCCCATATTAAAGCCTTTGGTTTGATAGCTTTGTGAAAGTACTAATACCTTCTAATAACTCTCCTTGGCAGAAGAGACCTTAGATACTACTATTTTCTTGGACCCTTGCTTGAGGCCAGGGTCAAAAGTTGGTTGCAAAAACCAACTACAAATGAAAGTGAGTCACAAAAAGAGTAAAGGAGCCCAGTGGAGCCTATCATTCTCATGGAGAATGATGTTTGTCTATGACAAAATTTAAAAATAATTTCCAGAAGATTAGAATTAGATATATATATTACCTTCAAACTTAAATGAGTCTTGTTTTAAATGATAGAAATGCTACTGACGGTCTCTGTGTTCATAGTGTTAACTACATATGCATTCCCACAGGTGTTTGATTTTACAATAGCAGAAGATGATGTTGAAATTCTAAATGGAATGCACGATGGGAGACATGTTTCCTGGGACCCAAGCCTTATTGTGTGAATGAAGGTTTGAACTTTTTTCTTTGTCAGTGATCAGTGAGTCACACCATGTAATTTAAATTAAGTGAAGGTTGCAATAAGAATATAATTGTGAGCTTAATGTCTGATATTAATGATAACGCTTCTGAAATCCTTAAGAGTGATAACAGATAAGATTTTTTAAGGGTAGTGTTTGTGTACTGAGATCTTAAATCTGCATATAAAATCTTGATCCATAATTCAGTGAAGACTATGCAAAACCCTCTGTTAATGACATCACCTTGCCTCAGGCCAGTAAAGCAAGAACATAAGGAGATATCACTCCTTTGAATGTCAAAAAAAATGCTGCCTGTTAGCATATGGTACAGGTGTTAGCTGTAAATTAATTTTTCGGGTACTTTGTTAGAAGGTTGCAGTATACACAGAAGAAAAAGCTGAGTGGAAAAAAATGTTAATACCACTATTATAGTGTTTATAGTGCGCAGTACACTGTGTAAAGCTCCATCAAGAATATGATCTCACTGCAATAAGCAATATATTAACATCACAGGAAAGAATTTGGTATGTCTTATTGCCTGATAATTACATTGACCTAGAGAGTTCTATGCATGTTACTTACAAGCCTGTAGTTGTAACAAAGTAAGAATACCTCGAGAGAAATCTGTGTACTACCTGCATGGGTAAGAGTTGAGCAGGAATTAGAGTAAGAACCAGAGGCATCTTTGTTGTTATGGACCGTTTTCTCTTACTGGAAATTCTACAGTTTCATTCTCACTAAAAATGAAAACTAGCTTGTCTGTCACTTTTCATTTGTCTAGGAGATTTCATTAACAGACTGTTCCCTGATTTTGTTATAAAATACATATGTGTGTAAAGAGAATTAGGTAGGGGTGTATGTGGTTTACACATCTGTTCTAAGAAGAACGTCTGCTAAGTATTTTGTCCACTTGAGCTTCTAGTCACATTGGTTTGATATTTTAAGAGTTCCTGTGTCTAGAAAGGTATGGAAAGTCTGACCATGATTTATATTGTGAGTGAACTTCCTGAGGCAGTTTTCCCAGTGCTGTTCTGCTTTAGTCATATTGTGAAACAAAGGTCCTTACTTTTTATCAAGAAATGGCTTACAACAGGCATGTACCCAAGCCTGCAGTGTTTTTCTTCAAAGCAGAGCTGCTACACAGCTTGGCTGAGATACAGACAAAGTTACTGTTTACCAACAAATGGTAAACTTTTCAGAGAAAAATTGTCTGAATTTGCCTCTTGAATCATTATTGTATTATTTATTACTTAAAAAAAACCAACAAGATACTGCAGAATAAGCTGGCTTCACTGATACCTGTACAACATGTTCTTACAGAAAAGATGCTCTGCTTACACAGTCAGGTTCACATATAGATGAAGCTAAAGGCTACAATGAGGGTGGCTTTATGGTTCCATCTGTCAAAGAGAATGTGCTCTTGCTTTTGCATCAGCTTTTGCTAGGAAGTCAAGCCAGAATTTTCTCTATCTAGATAATGTTACCTAAACAGTACAATGAGTAATGAGAAGAATAATCAAATAAAAACAGTATTACTATATAAGCATACTTGTTAAGGAGCAGTTTCAATCTGATCCTCTTATGTTCAGACTTGATTATTGTTATTTCAGGATTATTGTTATTTCCCAGGATTTTTATTGATTTATTGTAAGCTATTCTACTGATTTCTTTGGTACCAGGTAGTTGCTTTAGAACTTGAGCAGAGTTTAGGTATGACAATGTGCAGAATGTAACTGGACGTACTACAAGCTATTGAAGTGCTAGGGCTCAGTTGATCCGTGTTATCTTCTAGGTGTGGTGTGCTCTTTTGCATGTTGTGCCATCACTGATCCCCATTGTTTTCTGCCAGAAGCTATAATTCCTTCAGGAGGCTGGAATGCTGTTATCTCCTGTGTGCTTGAAATGTATCATTAGAGCTTCTTCCTTTGACTACAGCTTCACAAATCTTAGGCTTATTAAATTTAGGAGCATTTAGCAAATTCTCATTCAGTTTTGTTCATATTGCTGAAAGGACAGTCTCAGTGGACTGATATTTCATGCTCCTCTATACAACTACATTGACATTAAAGATGATGTTAACAGTTTTCTTTTTAAGCAAAAGCTGCTACAGAATAAGACCATGAAACATCACGTAAATGAACATTTCTGAAGTACTGCCAACTTTGATAACAGTGTAGATAACTAATAAAAAATTGGAAAGTGAACAGTAGTGAGATTTAAGGGTAGGAGTGAGGAATAATGTTCTCTAACAGAAGCAAAATCTATCCAACTGTAGAGATATAAAAGCGTGGAACACAAGATGAGGTAGGTTAACTCCATTTTTTTTCTTTCTAAGTTTCTTCTTTGTTTAGTACCCTGGAGGTAGTCATGTTTGAAAGGTGGGTTTGTTTGTTTGTTTTTTAAGCTCAGAATTCATCCCTAGTGTGTATTCTTCAAGTGATACCATGCCTATTCATCCCCAGGGCTGAAATTCCTCCTTTTGTCTGTACATGCATAAGGCATGTTTTCTGCAGAGAGAGAACTTTTACCTTCATACAATGACCATTTTTTAGATACAGCAGTGCATGTATTTTATCACTGCAACTACCATCTTGACAGCAGGAAGAGGGAAATATATCTGAAAATTGAAGGCCCTTTTTCTTCTGTAATATGTACATTTTTTACAGTTGTGACTGATTGAGGCAATCCTCTCTAGTTGAGATAAACAACTATTTAAAATAAGATAACAATTTATCAGTATTATCTACCTAAGTGCAGTCAGCCTTCTTAGCAGGAGCACTGTAACTGTTAATAGAAGGTGTTCTGGTTTCAGCTGGAATAGAGTTAGTTTTCTTCCTAGCAGCTGCATGGTGCTTTGTTTTGGATCTAGGATGAGAATGAAGTCGATAACACTCTGATGTTTTAGTTGTTGCTGGGCAGTGCTTACACTAAGTCAAGGACTTGTTGGTTCTCACACTGCCCTGCCAGAAAAAGCTGCAGGGGCACAAGGAGCTGGGAGGGACACAGCCAGGACAGCTGACCAAAGGGATGTCCTGTACCGTGCGGCATGGTGATGAACAATAAGACTGAGGGTGTTGGCTGCGGGTCTGCTCTGCTCAGGGACTGGCTGGGCACCAGTCACTGGTGGTGAGCAACTACATTGTGCGCCGCTTCTTTTGAATATCTTTGAACACTGTTACTACATTTTAGTAATATGAGAATATATTGCTGTATTTTCCCTTTCTTTTCTGTCCTATCAATCTGTCTTTGGTAAAACTCAAGAGTTTTACCTTTTCTCCCATCCCACGGCTGGGCAGTGAGTGAAAGGGCCTGATGGTGCTGAGCTGCCTGCTGGGTTAAACTGCAACAGAGGAGAACTCTTTTAAACAAACAAGGAAAGGAAAAAAATAAACGGGAAGTTGGTGGAAGGGTGAGGCCATTTTGTATGCAGCCAAGTAGCTTTGGTCTGGCTCTGAGTGGCTCCATCTGTAATTTTCTAGCCTGTTTCTGAATTTTGTCTTTTATGTCTCTGATTATTAAGGCACCTCACAATGTTAAATTGGAAAGTGATGGCAGTGATTTTGTTAAGTGTGTGCTTCAGGATTTTGTTTTTATCGGGGTGCAGAAGTGTTTCTGCTGTACTTGTCCCCCCAGAATACATTATTCTTTCAATTAGCACATGCAGTAAAGAAACAGCAACACTGGTAAGCTCACAGAGCCACTAAGCCAAGTAGGTTGCATTAGTATCTGCATCTCTTTTTGTGCTGTGTTTGACACCAGATGATTTTCTTGACAAAATAGCAATAGGACACTGAGAGGGAAGCTGATGTTAACTTTACAAGATTAAAAGGGACAAAAGTGGAGTAGCTCTTGCTGATACTAACTGAACGCAAACAGTACTGTCTGTCCACAGTGCCACATTGTTGCCAGAGCTTTGGAGCTCAGAGGAACACATCTCTGACTACAGAGAGTTGGGTATAAGCAACAGAAAAGCCAACCTTGCTGTATTGGGAGTCATTTTTTATACTTCTTTATACTTGCCTTTTGGCACTTTTTGCAGCCTCAAACAAGATGTCTGTGCTTCTGAAAGGAGACGTCGAGTATTTGCACTGCCTTAAAGTGAGCCTAAGCCATGCTTCTGATATAGTTGATGCAGTCTTCGTCCTTAATCAATGCTTATTTGTCTACAGTGTCACACAGGGCTACCAGGACATTAGAGGATAGTAGTAACTTTCTGTAAGGGCCTACTCACTGAAAAAGGAGGAGGAGTGTAAAGTCTTAAATGAATTTAAATCAGTGATTCTGACCCTGTTTCCTGTTGTCTATTACCATTGCTAACTCATGGTAGACGTGGCCAACATTATGTGGAATGTACTTCTCTAAGCAACCTTGCACAGATTCACTTGTGCCAAATCTCAGTACACAGTTACCCAGGATTCATCTTCTGTGATCTCTGTATGGGCTTTGTCTACCAGAGCCCTTTGAGAACTATTCTCTAGTTTGAAATACCAGAAAGAAATTCAAGAGCAAGTTAGTAAGGATATCGTCCTATTAATGATTGCTCTATTTTTATTTTTATTTTTTTTCCTGTGGCAAAATATATTTCCAGGACTTTTTATATGAGATTTCAGGATGAGAATCCTGGTATAATGATTTACTGTGAAGTTCCTATCTTGTCTGTGAAACTGGGGGGGGACCGGGGAAATGTTAAAATTATTCTATTTCCTGGTAACAAAAAGAGCCAGGATTGTTGTGTTGTTTTGGTTTTGTTTACTCTGTGAATTTGTTCTTCCCAAATGGTTCTCCTGGACTAGTCCCATTGAGTACCCATAAGATGCTGCTGCCAAGATGACTTTGTGGTAAATTGCTGGCTTGGGTTCAGGGTGAGGTTGGTAAAAGACTGAACTGTGAGTGTCATATATCTACTGTGGTATAAATTGACTTTCTTGATGATCAAATAAGAAAGAAAAGACCATTTTGTATTATATTTATATAATATGTGTATATTAAGGAAACAGCAAGTATCTATTCTTTTTATCTCAAGTTTTTGAGATTTTTGCATGATCGTCATGAACACTGTATAAACCAGGGGCAAGTTCCATTGAATAATTTGGAAAATTATCATGAGTGGTTTGGTTTTATTTTTCTGCTTTTCTCCACTATTACCAATCAGTAATATTTGAAATCTGCCCAAAATCTGCTTATTTTTCAGCCAGAACATCTGTTCCTTCAGAATAGCATGTTCAGTTGCATTATCATGACCATTAAATCTTTAGTTTATCCCAGCAAAAAATATATAGCAGGATTTTACTTGATTGATCTGTTTTACTGGAATAAAAAAATAAATTGCAGAATTTTTTTTGAATGCTGAAGTATAATTTCATTACTCTGTCACTCCAGCTACATTTTAATACATATAGAAAAAAATATGTATAATGTTAGATACATCAGTGTCTTGGGATTTTGTGGTAATAGTGAAGTGGTAAAGTAATCTTTAAGTGCAATGATTACCAATGACTTCAAGTCTTTTTGCTTGGGATTAAGCTTTACCTAATGATCTGGAAGTAAAATACGAAATCTCACAAATGAATATGTCAAACTTTTAAAAACATTGGTAAGTGCTTTAAAAACAAACTTTTAAAATTATGGAATGCTATTACTTAACACATATGTGCTTCTCGTTTTGTAGTGTTCTCATTGTCTGCTTTTTGTTGTTGCTGTTGTTTGCTTGTTTCCAAACCCAGGCTTCGATTTTAATCTGAGCGAAGAAGATGTGGAATTGTTGAACATCATGAATATCAACAGAAAATAAATGGATAAATGGATTGTGGAAAGCATAGCTTAAAAACGGATTGTTTCAAACTTCAGAAGTGGTGAACTTAAAATTTAATTCATTTTAAACTGAAGGATAAGTTGTTGGATACTCAAAGTATCTAGTCAACACCAATTAACAATCAAAATTGGTAAAAATAACTTGTGTTTACTATCATGTTGACCATCTAATGAAATCATTTTGTATTCTGTTTTTGTTGCTTCTTGCAAATATAAATATGCTTACTTAAAGTGTTTTGTCTGTTTTCTCAGAGCTGTCTGGCATGTTCTTCCAGTGTGGGTTAAGCTATATCAAAATATTATAATTAAGTTGCTTTACCTGCGTGTACATAATTTAAGGTGCTATTTTAACCCCTTGGAGCAAGTTAGTTGTGCTTTGTTCTCTGGCAGATTTTGTGAAGTATTAGTTACTTCAAGATGCAGATGGGAGCAGGCTACAATGTGCAGAACGTGTGTAACTGTTTGGGTGACTAACAGAAATTGGAGTGAGTAGGTACTTTTGTCCCTATGACAATTAGTACTTGCATTTCTACCTGCACTTTATGTGAGTACTGTCACCGGTGCTATATCTCCTAGTTCTGAGAAGTTACATGGCTTTGAGGTGAAACTTACAGAGCTGAAAGTAGCATATAGATATCCTAATTCAGAAGATTGTCTGCACTGCTTTAGAAACAGTTGTGTAATGTTATGTTTGAGGTGATTCTGACCAAGCTTGCTTCACGGTATCAGAGATGGTACAAAGATGGCCTTGCTTTCATACTCTGTACTAAATTTATGCCACATTATCTTCGTTCAGATTAATAATTCAGTTATGATATTTCTGTAGGAGTCATAATGTCAGCGTGCAGGTGTTAGGCCATGTAGTAAGAATAGCATTCTCTTCTCAGCTGCATGATGTAAACATTTACAAATGTATCCAAAATAGAGTATTTTGTTCCAGCTGTGCATCAAAACTCTGGATCTGTTGTAATGCCTTACTTCTTACATTGTTTCTTCAATTTCCTCTAGTCAGGGGAACTTGGGGGATTCTGCTGCCCACTCTTTGTGCTTCCTTAGTGAGCAAAACTATTCCATTCTGAGGATCTCCATTCTTGACCTGGTACACCATAGAGGAATGCCTGTGTTTTGTGGTCTAAGCTATGTCAGGGTGAATAAAAGGACTTTCTGCATGGATAGATTAAGATTTTCGAAAGTGCATAAGGGTGTTGTGTTGGGGAAAAATGCTTTTGAAATCTGTCTTGTGGGGATTTCTTGTCTCTTTTCAGGATGGGTGATGGTCACACACTCATCTGTTGCAATTGTGAGTCGTCCTGTGGTGCCAGCACTGTGAGAGTGCTATCTTCTGCTGGTATCAGAGGCTGCTGACACAGGCTTTGGGAATAGCCATACTGCATTTTTCTGCAAGACAGCATTGTTTCCTTTTCCTCAATTAACAGTTACCAGGATTAATGCTGGAGATTATTTCATTGATAAGTTTTTTTTATTTTCTGGCTCTTTAATTGGTATTTCTTTTTAAATGATCTCTTCATAAAGTACTCTGAAATTCCCAGTGTTGTTCCCCATGCCGGTGGGATGAGTAGGTGCTGACAGCCATCAGCACAGTCTGCAAATTGTGTAATTTGTGAAGGATCATATCAGTACCTTTTCTTGGGACTGATTAGTCTGTCAGATGTGCACGCACAGCTTTGTTGGGTTTCATTGTCATAGAATGATCAGTTTGACTTGCATCAGATTGTTGTGTGATTTGGGTTAAGACACTGAAACTAAATGTATGGAGATTCCTCGGGGTTATCCTATCACCACTGCCCTACGAAACAGCCAGGATTCTGGAGTGCCCACTGCACTGAGTTCCTGTAGTTTCACAAGAACGCTGCTTATCACAGGCAGCCAGTGGGTATGTAAAACAAGACTTTTTGTTCATCAAAGAAACTTAAGTATAATAGAGTATGTATTCATTATGTTGTCCCATCTCCTTTTCTCTGACTGTAGACATTCTCAGTTTTCAAAGGCGTTATATACCCTGGATTTCTTTTATATATTTTGTGGAAGTGCAAGTTTCCTTCACGTTGGATCTGGCAGATGGAAGGTATTGAGACAAGAATTCTGGCTCGGTTGATTGGGATGAAGTATAATCCTGGCACAAATCTCCTCAATGAACATCTATCAGTGTGCTTTTGTTAGAGTTGGTTGGAACAGCTGGAATTTACCTGTTTGTGTGATTCAGTCCATGCAAGGAGGCTAAAATCTGTGCAGCTGAACCTCATGAATCTGCATGAATTGAGGTTTCACACGGCCCTCAGAGCAAAATCAGCTGCTTTGGCTGCTTTTGCCTGGAAAGGAGAAAGTGCTGTTTCAGCATCCTTACTGCTGCGTGTCAGCATGGCTACAGATGTGTGTGATCATCTAATTTTAACAGTGCTTTTTGTAATACAGATGCTCAGCTGTTCGGAGTCAAACTGAAATTGCCGAGCCATTTCACACAACCTCTGACAAATAATTTGTTGGACATCACTTCTTTGGGCTGCAGCCCTCTCAGCTGCTTTACCAATAACTCAAACATGAAAGCTTGTACATCTGGCTGTTGAAACCCTGAGTCACTCTGTCCTTTAATTAAAGTGTGTTCCTTTATTATTTCCCTCTTGCTTAAAATTATGAGAGAAAAATTTCATAGAGGAGAGTGCCTAACAAATGTGCTTTTATTTAATATTTTCTATAGATTAGCTAAGTAAAGGGGAAAGCTTTGCAGTATCTAGGGTATGTCAGGCAGTTGCAGGGGATGCATATGTCAACCTCGAGCATGATTTATCTTGCATGCCTTTTCTGACAGTTGTAATTTAACGGCTGTACTTTTTCCTCCAGGCTCTCAGGAGGCTGAACATCTTTTCAAGTTTCTAGCTTGGTGGTGGAGAGTCGACGTCTGTTTGCCAGTGTAATTTATTGAGTCATTCTGGGAGAGGCGTGGAGCAACTGAAGCATGAGGATTCACATAAATGTGAGAAGAGGGGGACTCTTCCCAGGGCAGCACTGCCCTTGTCTCTGTCAGAGGAGAGATGCTTCCCTGTAATGACTGCTGCTGCTCACTGAGATGTGTGGGGCCGTGGACTAAGAGACTGATACGCTGTGCTCTGATCCATTGTGCTATTATTTTGCATTTCAATTTGGAGTTAAAAAGAACAAAGTAAGAAAGGAGGAGGAAAATTTCTGCACTAAAAGCAATTCAAGGTAACCAAGAATCACGTACACTGAGGTGGGTGCTTTTGGAGGAGTTACAAAACTCATTTCTTTCTCAGTCTTTATGTAATGGCACTGCTACTGTTGTTTAAAAATAAAAAATTGAAACTTATTTCTCTTTACAAAACCCTTTTGAATTCTCTGAACATTCAGAGATGTTTTGTGGTTGTTTTTTTTTTTTATGTTGAAAACCCAATAAATAGTGGTGTTCAAGGTGGCAAGGGGCATAAAATGATCCCTCACCCAGGGGCGAGTGCTGGCATCAGTCGGTGCAGAGCCCCGTTCTGTGTGGCTGTGCCGCTGCAGCCAGGTTCCCCAGGGCCCAGAGGGCGTCGGTGCCACCTCACGCTTGCTGGGCCCTGCGTGTCCCCGTTTTCACAGAATCACACAGAATCACAGAATCACCCGGGTTGGAAGGGACCTCAAGGATCATGTAGTTCCAACCCCCCTGCCTCGCAGGGCCACCAAACACACACATTCAGATCAGGTTGCCCAGGACCCCGTCCAACCTGGCCTTAAACACGTCCAAGGACGGGGCATCCACAACCTCCCTGGGCAACCCGTTCCAGGGCCGAACCACTCTCCTTGTAAAGAAGAAGTTTTAGCCCCGAACTTGGCCAGGTGGGAAGACTGAGAAAGCACCATCAGCGCTTTCCTTAGATGTTGGTCAAGCGTCCGTCAGGCGCCGGGCCGGGGCACGAGGCGCGTCCTCTGGGCCGCCGCTCCATGCTGAGCCACTCCGGCTGCGGAGCGGGGCAGACGGCAGCGTGGGGCAGGACGGGAGCGGGACCGCGACGCTGCCTCCCCGGGCAGCGAGGGCAGACGTCCCGCGGGACGGAACGGGCTGGGACTGAGCGGCGGCTCCGCCGGTCCCGCCTCCTTTGGGCCCGCCTCGTCGGCCCCTCTCTCGCCCGCAGCCGCGGGCTCTATAAAGGCGTGCAGGTCCCGCGGGCGGAGAGCTCGTACGCGGGGAGGGGTTAAAGAAGAAGGGTGGGGAGCCTCCGCCGCAGGAACATTAAAACTGCCGAGCCCCGGCCGGCCGCTGGAGTCGCTGGACGGCACTCACGATGCGGAGGCTGCATGCGGGCGGCGCGGCGCGGCTGAGCGAGGTACGGCCCGGAGCGGCGGAGGGAAGGGGGGCTTCGGGCGGCCGCGCTGCGGGGCTGCGGCGAGCGGCAGCCGGGAGCGGGGCGGCAGCCGAGCGCGGAGCTGTGCCGCCGGACTCGCCCCTCCGGCTTTGCTCCTCATAGGCTGTAATTTGATGGCTCTGAACGCTCTTCTCCTGCCTGATTTCGCACCTTAAATTCCTTTTAAATGTCTACTAGAAAGTGCCCGTACGTAAAAGGAGTGCCCTCTACATCTGCATTCCTTAATCGTATTCGTTTTCAAAGCGTACGATGCTAACTGTTTGCAACACAAAGTTCTTTTTTTCCTTTCCTTTGTGTCAGACCCACAGAACAGGTTGCTGTGCGGGCTATTTACTTGTTTCAACTTCTCCCAGCTCCCTAACGCATGCCCCTACTGCTCGGCCGGGGCACCTCTCCTGTTTACAGCTCTGGATGCTCTCTTGCACATGGCTGAATTACCTTCAGCACAGTAAATTGCTTCCCGGCCCCTCCCGAAACATGTTCAGACTTTCAGAACAGAGGCGAATCGAGCTCTCCTGTCGAGTAATTTCTTTGCAGGCTTCTGTGCGTCTGCAGTTTAAGCAAGTCAAGCCCATTTCCCTTTCTAAATCTCTGTTGTGTGTGTGCTGTTTCCTGCTGAAGAGTAAGCTAGGCTGGACCCTGCTGCTGAACAGCTTTCAGGTCTTTCACGCTGGAAGAAGTCCAGCAGTGCGGTCTCTGCTGACTCCAGCTTTACCTGCGCAGGTAAAGTTGTCTTACTGGCTTTAGCTATTTAGTATGCCTAACTATCTTTTAAGCATATCGTAACAGATGAATAAAACTGCCTTTTCTGTGATTGCACTTGTGATTCTGACAAACAATCAAATCAGCAGATCATCTTGGAACTTTTCTAGTTTGTTACATGCTTTTTTGCCACCCCCTAACACGGGCTTTGCCTCTTGTTCTCAGGACTGCTGCTTGTGAGCGTGTGCAGGAGCGCTGGGAGCTGCGGGGCCACCACGGGTTTGTGCTGCGTGTCTGTTGGCACCATGAGCTCCGGCACCACCGCCCCAGTGAGGGTGGTCAGCAGCCTCGCCAACACCGACGTCAACTATGTCATCAAAGAGCACTATAATTACACGGGAAAGCTAAATGAGAATGCGGACAGTGGAATAAAAGTGACGTCGGTGGTTTTTATCATCATTTGCTGCTTTATAATCTTAGAGAACATTTTTGTCTTGCTCACCATCTGGAAAACCAAGAAATTTCACAGACCGATGTACTATTTCATTGGGAACCTGGCTCTTTCAGACTTGCTGGCTGGCGTGGCTTACACCGCCAACCTCCTGCTCTCCGGACACAAAACTTACAGCCTCACTCCTTCCCAGTGGTTCGTAAGGGAGGGCAGCATGTTTGTCGCCTTGTCAGCTTCTGTGTTCAGCTTGTTGGCCATCGCCATTGAGAGATACATCACCATGCTGAAAATGAAGCTCCACAATGGCAGCAACAGCTTCCGCTCTTTCCTTCTGATCAGTGCCTGCTGGGTTATCTCTGTGATACTTGGAGGACTCCCGATCATGGGCTGGAACTGCATCAGCCTCTTGTCAAACTGCTCCACAGTGCTGCCGCTCTACCACAAGCACTATATTCTCTTTTGCACCACAGTTTTCACAGGCCTGTTGCTATCTATTGTTGTCCTCTATTGCAGGATCTACTCCATGGTGAGGACTAGGAGCCGTAGGCTGACATTTCGAAAAAACATTACCAAAGCTACCAGGAGCTCAGAAAAGTCACTAGCCTTGCTCAAGACAGTGATCATAGTCCTGAGTGCCTTCATTGCTTGCTGGGCTCCCTTGTTCATCCTGCTTTTACTGGATGTGGGCTGTAGAGTGAAGACTTGCCCGATCCTGTATAAAGCAGAGTATTTCTTAGTGCTGGCTGTGCTCAATTCAGCCACGAACCCTATCATCTACACCTTAACTAACAAAGAAATGCGAAGGGCTTTCATCAAGATTCTGTGCTGCTGCAAATGTCCCCCCACAGACTCGGGGACTAAATTCAAGAGGCCAATCATCGGAGGGATGGAGTTCAGCCGGAGTAAGTCCGACAATTCCTCCCACCCACAGAAGGAGGAAGGCGACCGTCCTGAAACCATCATGTCTTCAGGCAACGTTACCTCATCTTCTTAAGGAGAGACCGTGGAGGTGTTTAGAGCCTTCCTCTGAAACTGGGAGCCGAGGCACCTCCTGCTCGCTGCAGCAGTGCTGGGCTGAGGAGCGAGTAGCATTAGTTCTAACGAGGCCAATGGTGCACTTGCGAGGCTGGAGTTCAAGAAATGGGACACGCTGTTCTGGCTTGAAAATCCATTTCCCCGGAGCATGTTTTGTCTTTGCACTGGGGCAGCTCAGGATTGTCAGGCGCATTCATATCCTGAGATCTCCTTAGTAACTCTGAAAGACTGATGCCTTGGGGAAGTGATGCCTGGTGTGTGCAAGAGAATGAGAGTCGGGGAAGAGGCAAAGGGAGAATGAATCTTTTTTTTTTTCTTTTTTTTTGCCCTGTGAGAAGAATGTGAAGTTATTTTTCCTTTACTTGCAGCAAACCACTGACACAAAGCTCTTTCTGTACTGGGTTTAGTGATGGCTCGTATAGTTGGTCAGAAGTGTTTGTTTAACACATAACAAGGAAAGAGATCATGCAGGTATAATTTATACCACGGGCAGCCATAATTTGACATCACCTTCCAGAGCTTTTAGTTAAATAATAAGGTTTTATTTGCAGAGTCCAAAGCTGTTGGAGTTTTATTTAGCAAGATCATAGCTGTGAATTTTTGTTGGTGGTCCATATTACATTTGAAGACCAAGAGCAGGCTCTGTAATTACACTCACTTAAACAGTTCCATGACTGTATCAGATTTCATGGAATCACTCAGAGCAGCATTTGGCCCCATGCGTTGTTTGCCATGTTGTTATATAGCATTAAATAAACTGCATTATTGTGACAAAATGCGAGGTGGAACTGAAAGTCACCTCATAGAGATGACAGAGAGTAAATCTACTAGAATAAAATACTGTTGGCAGCAGCAGGATTTTTACTGAGGTAAAAAGAGCTAAAAACTGAAGACAAAGGTTAGTGTCAGGTGACAAAGGCAAAAAGTAAAGATTGGTTTCATCGCCTGAAAAGAAAGCCTTGAGTTTCAGAAACATAAGATTTCAAGTGAAATGACTATAGATAAATGCACTTCCATAACAAAATGCAACACATTTTGGCACATTTTATTAATGTTCGTAATTGCAGGAAATCTGTTTGTATTCTATCACTTCGTGGCTTCATGGGAGAAGTGCCTGTCATTAAAATGAATGTATTTGTTTTACAGTATCGTTTTGACTTCTCTGGTTTTCTAACCTGTGCTAATGGGGTTGAATGTGTACAATGTAAATAAGTTAATGAGATACAGGAGTGTTCGCACCTAGAGTATTACTATAACAAAAGTGGTATATCTGGGATAGCTGAGAGCAACTGGCTGATTGACAGTTACGGACAACTCCTAGAAGTGGTATTTTGTAAAAAAAAATAAAATAAAAATTATTGCTTTTGTAGTAAAATTTCCAGTGCAATTAAATTGTTTTTTGTTGTTTTTTTTCTGGTTTAAAAAATAGTATTTAATATGTTTCTGACTTCTGTTGTTCAATTTGCACATAGCTTTATTGACTTCTAAACATTAATAAACTGATTTTTGTAAAGATTCTGTTATCACAGTACTGGTACTTTGGTACTGCTGTGGGGATTTGGCACTGGGTGTGGTAATGTTGATGGAAGTTGTTGACAGAACTCATGGAAATGACTCCTTGGTTTCAGTACCATCTGGATTAAGCTATTTTTGTGGATGTCTTTCTGGTTGGTGGAGACCTAAGATGCATGCTGCCACTGGCAAGGTCATGTAAGATACAAAATGAATTCTATACTGTGATCTTTGATGGGTGTGCACTGTATCAATGAAATGCCATTAGAAGAATCCTTACAGTAGCATGCCTACAAATGTGTTTTTTTTTTTCCCAACTGCTAGTGGAATGCAAGTAGAAAAAAAAAAAAATAGGTGCCTGCCAATGTTGCCATGACCATCTGGAGCAGAATAAGTGAAATTATTAGCTTAAATCACTTATACAATTCATAACCTTAATTCTTAGCTTATTGCAATATCAGGAAATACATAAGAAGCAGACCAATTGGAGCTCCACCTGGTGCAGCAGTACACACTGCGACCGTCTGCTTGAATACATGATGCATGACTTCTTCCCAAGGCCTGACTTCCATTTCCTCTCTTGCTGCCATTCCCGCTCAGTCTTGCTTTTAAGTTTCACGGCACTTGTACAGGATGCAGTTGGAGTGCTAAGATAAAGCTCACCTTCTCATAGTGTATGTCATCACTGTGCAAGCTTTACTGTGGGAAACTGCAGCCTGCTCAGTAAGGAAGGCTTTGGGTCGCAACCTCACTTCCTGAAGGAAATTCCAAAAATGCCCTGAAGACAAAAGAGTGGAAACAGGCTGGAGTTTCTCTCCATCTGTCTGCTTGTACGGAAGGAATGATTTCATGTGTGCTCACTTCCTAGGCTTTTCATTAGTGACCTGAACAGAGCTGGAAAAAAATGTCAAATCTGTATTAGTGCACCAGATAAAGTCTTTCTTGTGCCAGGCCCGTGCTTGGGCAGTGACAGCTTACGCAGGGTGCTGACAGTTACAGGGAAAAGCACTGCCTGATCTCAGGGATAAAGCCGCATCTACACAGAGCACCAGAAGTATAAAAATCAAAGAAGTCCAAGTAAAGCCCTCAACATGCTACCAGTAAGTAAAGGCACTGTGTGGGGATGTGGCTTCTGGTTTTTATTTGAACTCTCGTCTGGCTTGGTAAGAAGGTTTTTCTCCAACTGGGGCTCTTCTGCCTTAAGGGCATCCAGGTTACTTTTCCCCCTCCGGGTTGACACCCTGTGGCGAGGGATGAGCAATGCTGCAGCACCGCTGTGTCACAGGCCATTGTGACTCCCACCACCATCCTCTGTGCGCTGGTAGCTGATAGCCCACAGGTGAGTCACTTCCATTCTCTTTTCCTTTGTTTTTGTGTCCTCTTATCTGTCGTTTCTAATAACACTGCAGGCCTTTGGGGGGAAATGACAGACATCCCACGAAAGCGGCTGCGTGATGGTAGCCCTGTTTTGCTAGGGAGCTCAGAGTCTTACGTAATTCATGCAACAAAAGAAACACAAACGGCAGTGCGTGGCACTGAGCCATGGGAAGTGTTTCCTACACTCCTGATCAAGATGACTGAAATCCATTTCCTTCATAGTCAGGCCACGTCTATGCATGTAGAAAAAAACTCACGCAGAGAACAGTAACTGTAATTAAATCACAATAAGAGTTAGGGGAAAGAAAGGCCATTTGTAGCTCTTGACGCTTCTTATAGGAGAAGGCTCCCTAGCTACAGACACCTATCACGACAAATCAGCAGGCTAGGCCAGTTGTGCTGTGATCAGTTCTGAAATGTTCAATGCAGAAAGCACTGTTCCGGGCCCCAGAGTGCCTTGAGCAGGCACTGAAAGGGCAGTCAGCTTTGTCCTTTTGTTGGCCAAGTGACAAACTGGCAGAGGAAACTCTCTGAGAGCTGAAAATGTACATTATCCCAAGTGTCTCAGTGAAATAAAGTAGCCTGTGTTCTCAGGAGAAACCTGGCCCTTTGAGTAATTTTCTTGTTCCTAGCCCTTCTTCCAGTGTAAGGAAAAGAACAGGGATGGAAAATGGTCGTTCTCTGCTACTTCTCATCTATGTATGCCTGTGTAGGACCTCCGTGTAGCTCTGCACTACAGAGCTGGCAGACAGGACCAAAACTATGGGAAGTAAAAATGTAAGAAATACTCAAGCTAAGAGCAAGACAGGGATTGCCTAACTCTAAAATTCCCTGATTCCTAATTTGGCTTGGAAGATCTTAATGCCGATGCATTTTGTTTTTGAAGGGTCAGATTGACAAAGCATCCAAAAACGTAGAACAAAGCTATGTAACCTACTCAGCTCTGAAGTGCTGGAAATTCCCACAAGAACAGGCTTGTTTATGGGGTTATGAATTTCCCCAGGAAAATATTTACTGTATTTAAATAGTTTTATTTCTTGGAAAATTAAATCCAACTCCAACTGAACCTTCAAGGATTTCAGAAACAAAGCCCATCTAAATTCAGTTCCTGTAATGTGCTTTCACAGCCTGTTCTAATCCCATATTTTCATTCACAGATGGAAAGAATTTCATTCTTGATGGTGTAACTTATTCTAATAGAACATTATTTCTTCTACGCAATTTGCAAGAATTGCATAGGGTCAAGATATTTCCCTTTAATTACTACTCTGAGTAATAATTGCTACTAGGGATTTTCTAAAATTCTGTTTCTATAATAATTACTAGTTATTAAATTCACCTTGCAAAGATGAGGTTGGTGTAAGAAACTGTGGTACAGCTAACTTGTTCTGGTACAAGCTTCATTTTGAAAAAAGAAGTGTCTAGAAAGAACTAAAACTCAAACATCTACAATTAGTCAAGATATTAACAGAAAATATATTTTGAGGGAAAACTGGGCACGTGATCAGTGTAGTCTTAGAGCATCCACTGAGGAGAATTTCCATGTCAAGGCTCCTCTCCTAAGCAGGAATAGGGTGGCACATTCCTGTGTCTGCTACTCACCCACAAATTCTGAGAGATGTGTCAAAAGCAGCATTTTCCAAACAGAGCTCACCAAGCAAAGCTCTGCATGGCCAGATTTCACTCCACCAAAAAATCTTGTCCCTGAGTTAAACAGGAACTTTTATGCTCAGAAGTGCCCCTGATACCTTCACAGTACAAAAAGGCAGGAAATCACATCAACCACACCCAGGAATTCTGTGGGCTTGGAAAAGTCCTAATAAAGCAAAGGAGACAAAGCTCTGTCAGCCCTCTGTGGACCTCTTGCCAAGCCTGGTTAGCACTCACATAATGGAAACCTGCACAAAGGCCAATTTTTTTTTTTGAGCTTAAGTGAATGATCACTTTGAGAAGATCCATCTTTAAATGGGTAGTACAACAAGGATACATTTAAATGGCTCATCAGAGAAACACAGTTAATGCCAGATTAAATATTTATGTGTGTATGTAGCTTTTGCAGTGCTTATTCGTAATCACTCTTCTCTGCTGAAAGCGGGCTCACAATTCAGAAAGCACGACTTTCTATAAGTAATGAACATTTGGAAACTGTGGGCTGGGGGGAATACAGAGCTAAAATTATCTGCTAGGCTCTGTGATATCATCAATGAAAACAGTCTCTACCTGGGAAAAATCTTAGGTTTGAGTCAGTGCTGACAGCAGAATCCTTCTGGTGCCAGTCTGGGCTGTCCGCTAACTGTTTTGCTCCCTTAAGTGCATGCGCTTTGTGTTAACCGAGACTTCTTGATTTAGCAGGACACTGCCATAGATTGCTGGAACACTCTCCCACAGAAATTCACATCCTTGTCAAGCACCTATGGTTATGTAATGTGAAGGTGAGGTTCATTAGTGATATGCGCAATGGAAACAGAATGCATGTGGTTAAAGAAAATGTGCGATGATGATTTTCACTGAATGACCTGGCAGACAATTTCAATGTGGGTCACTTATTGCCCACTGCAGTATCTCCTTTGTTGTATGGCTTTGTTTTATGGCTGCTGTTGTATCACTGTCAGTATGAGGAGGGAAAATCAACCAGAGATATTTTTAGTAATACCTACAACTTTATCTTTGTAGTTAGAAGAATGAACAATATCTAGACTGAAAAACCCTTTCTGAAGGGACTATTGTAGAAAAACAGCTTGCTAAAAACCTGTATTATTATCTCTCTAGCTTTCAAAGAAGACACAACTATGGTCTAACGATTTCTTCTAATCTATTGGCCATTCAGATTTCTGTTGCAAGAAAATAAGCTGTTTACCAAACAGCAGTCTCCTTTAGCTGTTCTTATTTTCATTGCAACTCCCACTTTTACTGCTGGTTTAAGCACAAGATAAGAAATTGCTTGTAGCTGGTGTGTAGTTTCTCTCTTCCCCATAGGACTATATGATCAATGCATGTTTTGAACAAATCCTTCATGTTGGTACAGAGATAGTATTTCAAAGCTCCCCACAGAACATTAAAAAAGTATTAACTCTTTTTTCCCTCTCTATTTTAGAAATTCAATATATTCAGTATGTTACTCTTTTACCACATGTTACTGTATTTAACTGTTTTTTTTTCCTCATCTTTTTATGTATCATATTGCAAATGTTGCTTGAGGTAATTCCTTACTTTCACCTCAGAGGTTTGACAAATTCTCACGGGAAAATGGCTGTATTTTATTTTTCTGATAAGCACTGTAGGCAGGAGGGATAGGAACTTGTCCATACGATTGAGGCAGTGAAGGAATGCTGAAATCTTTTAACTTGCCGTCGTTCATCAGTGGAAGTGGCTGGGGTCAGAGCTCTTTAGAGATACAGTGTGAAGTTCTGCTTTTCACTAAACCTGCTGAAAAGTGCACAGGCATTACAGAGGGTTCAAAGAACAACAAAAGAAGGCGATTTAATAGGATGAACTACAATAAAAGGCTCAGCCAGCAAAGCCTTTTCCCACCAGAGAGAAGAGAGCCGGGAAACACAATGCTCAGCCTTCC